GGCACGGATCGAGACTGGGGTTTGTCACTCCGTATGATGGAGAAATATCTCTGAACCCTCTCGGTAATACAACATCGTAAAGAGCTTGCAGGCAATGTGGCTAATGAATTAGTCATGAGATCTTGTATTACGGAATGAATAGAGAGACTTGCTGGTAACGAGATTGAACTAGGTATGGAGATACCGACGATCGAATCTTGGGCCAGTAACATATCGTCGGACAAAGGGAATTGTATAGGGGATTAACCGAATCCTTGACATCATGGTTCAACCAATAAAAGATATTCGTGGAATATGTAGGAACCAATATGGGCATCTAGGTCCCGCTACTGGTTATTGACCGGAGAGGTGTCTGGGTCATGACTATATGATTCCCAAACCCGTAGTGTCGCACGCTTAACGTTCGATGACGCTAGAGTAATATTGTGATATGCATGTTGGTGACCGAATGTTGTTCAGAGTCCTGGATGAGATCCCAGACGTCACGAGGAGTCTCGGAATGATCGAGAAGTAAGGATTTATATATGAAAAGTTGTTTTTGGAATTTAAAAAAAGGTGCAGTTTTTTGGTATTGTATCGGGAAGCTTCCAGGAAGTTACAGAGGGGTCCGAAAGTCCACAAGTGGGTCCATCACATCTCACATGCCATCATGGAGTGAAGGGGGGCGCCCTGGCCTATATGGGTCATGCGCACCAGCCCCTAAGAGTCCCATGTGGCTAAGACATGTGGAAGAGGACTAGGAATCCAACTCCTGCTAGGAGTAGGACTCCTTCCCCTTGGCGCCAACTCCTATCAGGAGTAGGGATGGACTCCTAGCCCTCCCACACATATGCATATAAATATAGGGGAGGGGGAGCAACAAGGCACCCTGATACATTGGCCTTGGCTGCTGCCCCGTCTCTCCCTCCCGGCATAGTTCTCGTTCACGGTTTTTCGCTTAGCGAAGCGCTGCCATTGCTCCACTACCACCATCACCACCACACCGTCGTGCTGGTTATGATCCCATCTACTTCTCCGTTCTCTTGCCGGATCAAGGAGGAGGAGACGTCATCGAGTCGCATGTGTGCTAAACTTGGAGGTGACGTCTGTTCGGCACTAGATCGGTTGGATCGTGATCGGATCGCGAAGAGTACGACTACATCAACCGCGTTATATACGCTTTCGCTTTTCTACGAGGGTACGTAGACACACTCTTCCCTCTCGTTGCTATGCTTCTCATAGATAGATCTTGGGTGTTCGTAGGATATTTCTTTGATTTTCATGCACCGTTCCCCTACACACGGTTAGTTCAGAAATTGCATTGTTATCAATCACCAAACCACTAAGGGATAAATATGCCCTAACAACGAGGACACACATCGTGCAATTGACGTGGCAAGGGTTTGAAGAGGTGTTATTTTTCTTGGTCAACTTCATGGCAGCGATTACTTACACAAGTGAACATGGACAAGAAAATCATCAGAGCCAAGAATCACCCCCCTCCCCAGCTTCACCCAGAATCATCACTTTATTTTTTTACAATCCTATCTAGTTAAGGTCTAATTAGCTAGGATTGTAAAAAATATATGAAGTAGTGATCCTGGGAGAAGCTGGAGAGGGGGGCGATTTTAGATTCTGGTAGAATCGCCCAAAAGAACTGGCCCAAAGCTCGTGATGAAGGGAACACGGACTAAGAACAATATGTACAAGGCGGAGTTGAGAAGAAGAGAGACATGCCAATATGTTCAGTCGAGGCTAAAAAGTCTTACGAGGACTTGCCAGATGACTTATACAAGTGACGTGAGAAACAAGGGAAGACCCAAGTCCAATCTGGCACATGCGTTCATGTGAAGCTGACAACTTCAAGATGACAAAGACATGTTCGTTAAGATGAAGTTTATTGGAATTGGTATCCGATATATTTGTAAAAGGCCACAACTTGATTAGACTATGTGAGGTGTTGGAGTCAAACACATGTAACACAAGCGTAATATATGAAGGCTTGGCCGCACGATAGCCAAAATAGACTAGGCTTCAAGATGATGCGATGGTGGAGATGTCATTTGATGATCTCAACGGGCTTTCGCATCATTATGCTATGTTGATTTAGGGAAAAACTATTTCAGCAGTGGTATGTTTGCAAGCATGACCTTTTAAAATAAAACCAGGCTTCCAAAACTTTTTAGAAGGAAACTCCGACGGTTATAACAATGAAGTCACATCTAAAAAAATTCACACAGATATTCGCGCCAAATGAAATGATGTACGAGCTAGATGTGATTTACTTAATTCCCATCTAGATGAAAGCTAGCCACCCAAAAGCAGTGTTGACCTTTCAATAATGTAGTTCAACTTTCAAAAAAAAAAATTACGCCGAAGTCTCAATCAACAGTGAATACTATATTCGTTCGATCTTGCGCGAAAATCTTTGCAAAATTTTCATTTTAGCTTCTTTTTCTTTTTATATATTAGTCACTTGACTGAGACTTGGTTAAATCTTGGTCAACTGAAACCTAGCCACACCCTTAAAAAATTAGTCCGACGTAGCTTTTCAAAGAAAATCCAGAATGAACGTACGTTTTTCCCCACGGCGCCTGAAACGGAGCCCATCCCCGGTGGGGGAGAAGAGCAAAGCAGAGGAGGAAGGAAGGGAGCACACCGTGTAGGTCGTCGTACGTTTTCATGCAATGTGCCCGCCGAGTAACCGTACGTGTCACCCAAATTCCGCTTTGGGATGCTACTGCCAAATTCCGCCGAGTAATACATAATCAACCAACCCAAATCTCCGTCCCTAATTAATGAACACAAGAGAAGAGAAGAGAAGATATGGCTGCTAGGTGCGTGCACGCTACATGTCGGCCTTGTTGGGCGGCCGGCGGCCGACGCGGCGGCGCCTGAGCGCGAGCCGGTGGCCGCTGTCCTTGAACCTGCTCCGCTCCGACTCGACGAGGTCGCACTCCGGGAAGGGCACGGGGTAGCGCCTGGTGTCGTAGCAGTATGAGTAGACCATGTTGCGCTCCCTGAACTGGCGCATGGCCTGCTGCTTGGCGAGCGTCATGACGGCGGGGTCGGACGCGGCCAGCGCGTCGGCGCAGCCTTCTTCCGTGGGGGAGGAGGCGCGGCAACCGGCGAGGGCGAGGTCGGTGAAGGAGGCGACGAAGGGCCCGTAGTGGTAGTCTACGCGGTAGCGGCCGCCGGAGGTGGCCCAGTTGGAAGCGTCCCAGACGGTGGCGTAGAGCGACATGGGCTTGGCCGGGAAGTCGCGGCCGGCGCGGGCGTGGCGCAGGTGGCGCACGGGCACGTCGTCGACGTAGAAGACGACGGCGTCGCGCGCCCAGAGGATGGAGTAGCGGTGGAACTCGGTGGTGGGGTCGAAGGGCAGCACGTAGCGCTCCTCCCGGCCCCGGCTGACGCTGCCGTTGCCGTACATGTTGGTCTGCATCCGCCACGGCTTGCCCCGGATGTTGCCCAGGAACTCGAAGTCCAGCTCGTCGTGCGTCTTGGGGAACACGTCGCCGTTGGACGTGTAGAACGCCGCCACCACCCCCGCCGTGTAGTCGGACGGCAGCTTGATGGACGCGCTGAAGAAGCCATGCTGGTACATGGCCGACGAGATGAACCCCGACCCTGCCCATTTTAATTACCATTAACTGATAACTGACGTACGTTGCATGAAAAACAGACAAACGCCCCAGAAATTAACGGAGGAAACCAAGCCGCCATGCGCGCGCATGCCACGAACGTACGGCCGGCCGGCCAGCCGGGGAGGACGGAGGATGGATGGATGACCGCACTCGTACGTACGTACCGGTGGTGCGGTCGAGGAGGAGGCTGACGGTGCGGTCGTCGGCGGAGCGGAGGATGTTGTCGAAGCCGAAGAGCGGCGTGTAGCCGTCCCCGAAGGCCACCGTCGCGGTCACGTCCACCGCCGGCCGCGCCGCCACCGCCACCGCCACCGCGGCCGCCGTCGCCAGGGCAAGCAGCGCCGACGCCAACCGCGACATGCCGCCGGCCGCGAGAGCGATCGATCGATCGATCCCCTCTCCGCCCCTCTCCTCTGCTTGGATGGAACTATACTAAAGCTATTTCCTGGTATATCCTCAGTTTTGGTGCTTGCCTAATTATTCACTCAGGCTGTTTTCGGGTCGGTTTATTCTTGGGTGGGTGACAAATTGAGGCGGAGGTGGAGAAACGGTGCAGGGAGGCCGGAAGACGGCCCCGTGACCGCCGGAGAAATAGGAGGAGTTAGCTTTGGCTTAGGTCTGCTTAGCTTTTATCCATTCATGGCGTGCATGCAGACGCGCGGATGGAAATTGTTTTGGAAACGGACGCGTACAAGGAAACTATCTCAACAGTTGGCCAGGGACGGATTCAGGGGAGAAAATAAATAAATGGGAACGCTGTTGTGCTGACGTTCCTGGGAAGGCATGGCAAAATGGACGTTTCTCATTTACATTGTCTATTTTCTTTTTGCGAGCTTGTAATTTACATTGTCTCGAGGATGGCAAATTCCTTCTCAGAGCACGGTAAATCCTGGCAAAAAAAAATGAACTGGGCGGGTATGCCGTGCTCAAGAGAATTGCCAAATAATCAAAATCAATGTCGACCAATCTTTCCTTACGGACACGGGATAAGGAGGGTGGGGTCTTATACAATGGTTGATAAGATAGTTTTATCTTAAGTCTTGCATGTAATTTAGAGATGACAAAAAAAACATGTCTACAATGGGTTATCTTTTAGTCTTATCTTTAATAATTAGATATTCCTAAAAATATGATGAGACATATTGTGCTAAAAAATCATTTCTTAAATAAGAGAAGACAAGTCTTTTTTTATAATTTCTCTCCTTTCCACCTCATTATTTTCATCATTTATCCTAGGTGGCACTCCTAAAATAGCACCATGCATTCCCTAATGGGAACGGCGAGGTCGTTGCTGCGGAAATTGCTGAACGAGGGTACCGCTCTTCAGGCTCAAACTAAAGCCTATGGAAGGCCATCCAAGTTGCGGAAGTGCATGGTATGGGACGGGTCTACTTCGAAACAGACTGTATGAGTCTTCACCAGGCGCTGTCAAGCACTGCCATGGACCGGGGTTCGCTTGGTTTTCTCTTCCGCGAGGCAAAATACCTCATGCATTTAGGTTTCTTTGAGTATAAAACCATGTACTGCTCTCTGGTCTGTAATCTCCCAGTGCATGTGTTGGCTAAGGCTGGGGTGTGTGGAGTTCCTGATAGCGAGCAAATCTAGCTAACAAACTTCCTGTCCGATGTACTCCGTGTGCCCACCAATTTGGTTGGTCCCCCGTAATCTGGAATGCGGGGTGTTCCATAAGGAAAAAGGAAAATTTCCATCCACGAAAAACACAAATGATCATGCAAAACATTCACATTTGTCATCCTCCTCAGCAAAATGTTCCCTGGTTAAGCCAGCCCAAAAAATAATCTTGGGATAGGGCCTCATAGTCTTCCTCATGGCCCCCTCCTTAGAACATCTACATCCAGACTTAGCAAATCTGGCCTCCTAAATGTGCACGAACCCCCTGGTAGCGGCATACATGATGCTACAATGGGCGGGCAGCGGTGTTCGGACCGGCGCCTGGAGGTGTTGGAACCGGTGCACAGGATGCTGGTACCGGCCACCGCGGGTGTTGGAACTGGCTACTACGGGTTCTACAAGCTGCTCATTGGCGGTGTTGGAACCGGCCTCGTGGGGAGCTACAAGTGGCAAATTTTAGCGCTACAGTGGGCACCATCAGATGCTGGAACCGACCGATTGTTTTGCTACAACCATGAGGAGGTGGCGCCGCTACGATGAACTGTGGTGCCGAGATGGCTACAACCAACAACGGTAGAAGCTGGAACTGGCAAAAAAATGTTACAATTGATGACAATGAGCTAGGGCGACGATGGGGGTGGTGTCGTGATTGCCACGACCAGCAACCATAAAAGCTACGAAAGGTGAGTTGTTTTGCTACAATGGTGGAGGGTGGAAGTGATGACCAGTAGATGACGATGATGTGAGCGATGCGCACCCGGTCGGCGGCCAGTCGGCGCTCCCGATGCTGCAATTGCTGGCGGCCGAGGCTGCGTGGCGGGGATGTGACTGTCCATAGCAGGAGCTGCAAGCAACCACGACCGAGCCATGGCCTGTTGCAGGGGCAAACAACGATGGAGATAGACACCTTTGTGCCGCTGGAGCCGGGGGAGGGGGTTTATTTCCCCTTCACCCACTAGTAGAAAAAGGACCTAATGTGAGACACATTAGTCCCGGTTTGTTTTTGGCCCGGTACTAATGGTACCATTAGTGCCGGTTCGAACGGCTATGCATTAATGCCGGTTCGTGTTGAACCTTTAGTACCGGTTCGTGCCACGAACCGGTGCTAAAGGGGTGGTGGCAGGCTAGCGTTAGGCCGGGGCCCCATGATCACCTTTAGTACCGGTTCATGGTACAAACCGGTACTAATTAAAGGGCTAACCTTTAGTACCGGTTCGTGTCATGAACCGGGACTAAAGGGGTCTGACCTATAGTCCCGGTTGGAGACACAAACCGGGACTATAGGGCAATTTTTCAAACTCTCCCCCCCCCCCGGTGTATCGCCATTTCAGTTCTGAAAAAATCAAAAGAAAATGATAAAAACTTCAGAAAATAAAATCCTTCGAGAGGTAGTTATATTACTACATCTACTAGTTAGGAAAATTTGAAAACTTAAATTTGAACATGTTTTGCAAAAAGTGTAGGGAAAATGTAAAACGGCTATAACTTTTGCATACGATGTCGGAAAAAAACGTATAATATATCAAAAAATTCAACACGAAAATCCGCATCCGATGGTGACAGCCTACTGCCTGTTTGCAATTTTTTAGAATCCTCAAATCCGCATCAGTTTTTTTTTAAATTTTGGTCAAACTATGGTCAAACTACTTATTCAAGAAGTATTAATGTTACTACATAATTATTCAATAATATTAGTGTTACTAAATAATTATTTCAATTTTTTGAATTTTGGTCAAATCTGGTCAAACTATGGTCAAACTATGGTCAAACTATGGTCAAACTATGGTCAAACTTATTCAAAAAATATTAGTGTTACTACAGTTTTTAGAATAATAGTTTCAAACTCAAACGGTGAAACGTGTGCCCTAATGTTCAAGCTAAACTGCTGAGGGTTAATAGGATTGACAGCTTATATTTGTCAGGAAAACAACAAGTGCAGACTTGGAAAGTAGGGGGAATAGAACTCCGAAGTTAAGCGTGCTCACGCTGGGGGAGTGAGAGGATGGGTGCCCGGTCGGGAAGTTAGACGATTTGGAATGAGTGATCCACACTTGAGCAGTTAAGATGGGTGATTAGAGACTAAATAATCAAATAATTCAATTCAGAAAATTGAAAATAAATAAAATCCAATTTTTTTAAAAAAAATACATTTAGTACCGGTTGGTAACACCAACCGGTACTAAAGGTCCCCCATACCACGGCGCGAGCTCACGCCACGTGGTGGCACTTTAGCGCCGGTTCGTGCCGAACCGGTACTAAAGGGGGGGGGGCTTTAGTGCCCACCCTTTAGTGCTGGTTATGGAACCGGCACTAAAGGCCCTTACGAACCGGTTTTAAAGCTCCCTTTTCTACTAGTGACCATGGGGTCTGCACGTAGTGCCAGAGGAGGAACAAGTCGAGACCGGGAGGGATGGCTAGGTCAACGTAATTCTGAACATAGATTATATTTGAATCCAACGGTTCATGAGCGACCAGCCTGGTGCTGGCGCTGGTCGCCTGTGGCCTAGCACTGGCCTCTTGTTGAAGTTGTCCGTTGAAGTTGCCGCTGAATTCGGGAGTCTGACTCGGCCGCAACCTACACACCCCATCCTATGCGAACTCGAAAACTCTCTCCACCTCAAAGAGCTAGCAATCCCGATCCTCAAATTATTGATGATCCGCGGCGTCTGATGATCCGTACGAACTTCAGAGCTCTCATAGATCCATAATAGCACGTACGGGTTGTTGGAGTAAATAGCATAAAACTACTAGTTTACAGGCTAGGGTTCCAAAAAACTACCACTTTTTAATTTTTCTCAGAAAACTAACAAACGAGCGGTCGGCTGTTTCAAAAAACCCAAACCCGCGGTGACTAGCGATTTAACCGTTTTCCTGACAGATTGGGCCCGCCTGTCAGCCCACATGGCCCGGGGCGTGGACGGCGCAGCAGTTAATGGCAGTTAGCCGACCGGCCCGGTCGGAACTGGGGTAAATATACCCCTTGGTCAGTCGGGCGCACCTGCTCGCTCACTCCCCTGCTCGCTCCCTCCCCTGCTCTCACTCCCCTGCTCCAGTACGAGCTCGCCGCCGCTCGCCGTCTTCGAGGCCGGTCATCGTCGACCTCCTTGTCGCAATGCCTTCCTAGAACGACGAGGAAACGAGCTCGGAGGAGGATTGCCAGGTCGTCAGCATGGACATGGGACTTATGATAAGTTCTTTGCCACCTAGGGTTAGGGTTAGGGTTAGGTGCTAGTAGGCCTAGGCTACCGCCATGGATCTTGCTGAGTGTAGTGTTGTTGTTCTTGTGTGATATTGTTCTTGATTAGTGAGGGTGGGGTTTGATTGTAGGATTGAGGTAACCTAGGGTTCATCTATGTACAGTGTTAGGGTTCATGCTGATTTGGGGATTTTTTAGTGTTCAAGTTTAATGAATAGTGCAAGTTGATTCTGGTATTGAGTGTAGATTGAAATCAGTGTTTGTTGGTTATTTTGGTTGCAGGAGGAACCCAGACACCACTATAGAGCCCCTTTTTTGTGGCCAACTTGAGCTTGCTCATCCCAAGTGCATTCTGCACCAAATGAGGCCTATTAAGAGTGTTGCTTTTGAAGGGCCTATAACAGGAAGGCGTTTCTATGGCTGCCCAGTCCAGGTTAGATGGCAATTAAGTATTCCGCTAAGGATGTTCACTGATGTTTGATATGATGCAGCAGTTTGTTTGATATGATAGCCACATATGTACAAACTTAATCATGGCATTGTAACAACTTATCATATCTTATTTATGTTATTCATTGTTAGAAAATCTCAAGTTTATCAAGTTAACCATGGAATTTAAATAAGCTACTAGTCCACTTGTAATAACTTATCACATTTACAAATGCAGGAAAATGGTGTGAATTGTGGTGTTGTAGAGTGGGTTGATGGGCCTTGGCCTCCTGTTCTTCAGAGATGTTTGTGCAAGCTATGGGAAATGTTCCATGAGTAGAACCGTGGAAGGGTACTTGACAAGGAGAAGTTTGAGAAGGAGTTAGCCAAGCTTAAGACTGAAAATGACAAGCTTTGGATTGAGTACACCAAGCTTGTTGATGATGTATCCAATGTTTGATTGGCAGGATGGTAGGGTGGACAGGAAGGTGTACCAAAAACAAGTGGAGGAGGAAGAACTTGAGAAGAAGACGAAGGGGATAGAGGAGAAAGCTATGTTGGAGTTGCAGATGGAAAAGCTCAAACTTGCAAAAGAGCAGAGGTGCATTTTGCAGAGCCAAGCTGATATCATCAAGAACACTAGGAAGGCTATGAAGGATGTTGAAGTTGACAGGGATGTTCTTAAGAAGGAGAAGGCAAACTTGAGGTTGTTGTTGCTGAGCTGCTGAAAGATGGGTATGGTAGCAAGGAGAAGTTAGAGCAAATCAAGGCCATCCTTGAGTCATGAAGTTGTTGTGATATGTTGGTGAAGTAAGTACATCCAAGGCCTATATATAAGGATGTGGGCTAACAGTCTGAAGTGATTATGGGTGTACATTTTGGGGGAATGTGAAGTTGACCTAGTGTTTGGCCATGCATTTGAACTTTAGTTTCCTATGTAAGAACCTTATTTCCTATGTTCTTAAGTGAGTTGTAATGGATCACCTATGCTATTAAGTGTTGTAATGGATCTCCTATGCTATTAAGTAGTGGAAATGGATCTCTTATGCTACTAAGTAGTAGAAATGGATCTTCTATGCTATTAAGTGTTCAAATTGATCTTCTATCTTTTCTATGTTATTTGTTAGCCTACATATATTATTTGTGTGGGTAATTGGGCTTAGTGGCCCACTAGTCTCTGACCAAATGCAACCCTAGGCCTACTAAAACCCAACCCCATCCATCTGTCAATATAAACCCCTCCCCACCCCACCCTTTACCAGTGACTCCACCAGACGCCTAGCCGCCACCCAAAAGAAACCCTAGAGATGGATCCTGACATGGGAGATGTCACAGAGGAGGAGGGGGC